CGGTCAATGACTCGATCCAATTCAAGAGCGCAGTGAGCAACTTTAATGTAAGAATCTGGTCTGAATTTATGATTTTCAAAATCAAAACATCCGCATTTAGCGAATCGAAGACTCAGAAAAGCTTAAAGTCAGGGTTGGAAGAAAATATGGAAATCCCTGAACCATTTCCTACTCAACACTACTAACCCCGAGAGGATTTCATAGGCAGTGCTACCCTGATTACTCTGAACGAAAAGCAAAGTAACGTGAAATTCTGTTTGTTGGAGTTTGTTCGACAGACATTGCTGAGGAGTTCAACTACTGAACAAGAGAACAATTAGGGTGCTGACAAGAATCCAACGGCAAAGGGGAGGTCCATTCACTTTGTTCGATTATTTATCCAGTCAAACCCTACGGCCCAAAGTATTCCAGTGACATCGACATAAACGGTTTAAACACCACCACTATGGGCTCTATCCCCTACCCCTCTCACCAATCTTTCAGCTTGATGAGTGTGTTACTCGTTGATCACATAGATTCAGAAGGCATCACGCTACGCCAAGGTACGTTCCTTGTGCTATGAAAGTATGAACAATGAATAGGGGATTTCAGTCTGCGTATTTTTGGAAAGAAATATCCAACTCAGTTGTCAGAGCTTGAGCTTATTTAGTTGCCGCTTAATCCCTCTCTCACATGATCTCATCCCATATGAAGGTAAAACACTAATCGAATGTATCGGAGTATAGTTATTCGACAACCGGAACAAAATGTTCATGATGATGACAAGCTTACCAACTGATTCGATACATCCGAGTGATCTTCCCGGGTCATATCAGCTCCAATAGCAGATTTCATCAGACGGGATAATGACGGAAGTACATTAATTGGTGGGTAGATCTGGAACCAAAAGATGGGTAGAATGAATTGAGGAATGATGAGAATAACTACATGGGATATATGGAGAAACCATATAACCGCAAATACGGAGCTTGAGCTCTTGGGATAACCAAATTTTACGATCACAAAACCATTAAGTGGACCAGAAAGAACTGGTGAATCTCCATAATTATGGTGGAAAAGTGCAGGATATTAAAAGGGCTGAAATACTGCGATAATTGGGTTTCGTTATCCGGACTCACAACGAAGATTGCGGTTAGAGCAATGAACTCATAGCAGTGAAACAAGCAAGGCTGATTAACAAGAGCACTCATCAAACCGAATGTTAGTAGACGATTAGGGATGAGGTTTGGTTGAGCTGAATTAAGACTATCACACTTGTTTTTTGATAGGTACATGGTGGAATACCAGAAAGCGTCTCTTTGGTAAGAATCCTCAGTTGGTGGCTGACAAAGCCAGGCGCTCTGCCTTTGGGATAATGAAGCGTTCCTTAGCTCTCTTATGGTGAGTGCACNATGAAGCGGTTACGAGATGCTGAGTCGGATGGGCTGCACCAATGACGAAATGCTGAGTTTTCAAAACATTCAGCGCGGCTGTAAGACAACTTAATTGCACTTTTCATATATGGTTGGTTTTATGTTATGAAAGCGATCCTGTTCAGCACACTGGATCATGGAAGCACACCCCGCCTCGAGGTGTAGTCTGGTCGTGATGACAAGGTTCAGTTTGTACAAGCATTAACCATGCACTTTCGTGCGGCGGTTTTAGTTGCCTATTTGAACGGAGTGGGGAATAGATAGGAAAGTTAAAAATAGGGTGATGGCAAGAATCTACATGAAGTATGGTCCTCGAAACCGCTTGATAGGTTGGCTGGAATTAAGTGAGGATGACCAAATATTGTTGCGTCCAAATGAGTGGAAGCTCCAATAATGTGATAACTGGGATTTGATAGACAGAGCGGAAACCTACTTCAGAGTCATGACATAGATGGATTTTTTCAACTATCCTCAAAAAGTACCGATACTTCCGATGATGACTGAAGCCGTTAGTGCTCTAAGAAACATTTTCATGGGGTGCATCTGCTCACTCATTGCGAAGAATTTTACTACAATGGAGGTGAAAAAGCAATATACTAGTCCATAACCTGCTTAGTGAACTAAGGTTATCCAGGAGGGAAATCCAGTTATCCAACATCCCAAGAACAGAAATGGAAACTGGCCTCTGGACACCTTGGTGTCAAAATTACTCGACTCGACCGATCAACAAGATGCACTATGCACTGGACGGAAGATTCGCATTTTGGGGGACATAAGACCTGATAAACCCGATGAACCGTAGTCTTTTATTTTGCGTCCCATTTCTAGGCGGTGGGTCAGTGATGATGTCACCAAATTATCACCCCGGGGATCGAATCCCACCACCATTGCCTGACTTTCCCATTATATTGAATGGCACCCTCCGAGTGGCCGCCTCCCCCTTCCTGAAAATTGTATCTTTGTACGTTCAATAAAAAGAAAGTAAATGAAAAGAAAAAATTAAATCACCTGCTTCGGTGGGAAACCCTGGCAAAATTGCGCTCATACACGATTCATGAACCGATTTGTCATAAACGTGCGTTCGGCATCTGTTTGATAGTCTGAGCTCATATAGACATGAAATCTATGGATAAAATAATTATGTTAGGGGAATCCGTTAGCGGTAAAATATTGCATGAAAGCACAGCGACGCAAAGCTTAATAATTGTAGCGTAAGTTTATTTCAGTGCAAGAGCTCAACACGTTTGTCGGAAGTAGTGGTGCTTCAAGGTGGACTTATTAATGGCAGACAATCATCATACGCACGATTCGCAAAAGAAAAGCTGAAGAGGTAAGAAATTTACCCCGTCAAGGTCAATCCAAACTCACCTGTCTGTTGTGCAACTGACGATCTACATAGATTTGACCCTCGGTAATGTAGCCGGTTAAATCGGGAATGGGATGAGTAATATCGTCGTTAGGCATCGTTAAAATAGGTATCTGAGTGATTGAACCGTTTCGGCCCTCGACACGTCCAGCACGCTCATAGATTGTAGCCAAATCGGTATACATGTAACCTGGGAAACCTCGACGACCGGGGACTTCCTCCCGAGCTGCAGAGACCTGGTGAGTGGCAGACGATGAAGAAAGAATGGAATCAGAATAGTTACTAAAAATAACGGTTCACGACGAATGCTTGATGAAATGTAAGAAGGAATGCGAAGACCCGTTTGATTGATGTAAAATACCCGAGAAATGATTAAACAGTGATATGACAAACAAAAAGTCAGTGGTAAAAAGGTTTACCAATGGACGCTTGTGTTATAACTATCCGATTTATCTTGTCCTTTGACCAAATTCAGCACAAATGAAATTGGTTCGGGTCAGAAAGAGGATGTATATATGCAGTACGTGTTTTGAGCCGATCCAGTACTCATTCAAACGCTGAATAATTAAAGTATTTCTACTTATATCACAAGCGCACCATCGAAATAAGGATATCTGAGTCACAATATGCCAGCAACACACTACTCAGATGCTCAGTTCCTCAAGAAGTGATTTTATAAGGGACGCTAATCAACACTGGTAGGCTACCTCATACCGGATGATTTAACACAATCATATATATATTTATATACATATCAGGATTGCGACTTACCTCACGTAATGCTTCGGCATACGAACTCATGTCTGTTAAGATGACTAGTACGTGCTTTTCACACTGGTAGGCCAGATATTCTGCCGTGGTCAACGCGATACGTGGTGTGATAATGCGTTCAATTGTCGGATCGTTGGCAAGATTCAAAAACAGACAAACATTTTCCATAGACCCGTTTTCTTTGAAGTCCTGCATGAAAAATCGAGCAGTTTCCATATTCACACCCATAGCGGCAAACACAATAGCGAAGTTATCCACATCAGAATCCATCACACTTTTATTTGTCACCTTGACTAAACCAGCCTGGCGACAAATCTGCGCCGCGATTTCGTCGTGTGGTAGACCGGAAGCCGAGAATATGGGGATTTTCTGACCACGTGCAATTNAATTCATCACATCAATACTGGAAATTCCTGTCTGAATCATTTCCTCTGGATATATTCGCGACCAGGGATTGATAGGCTGGCCCTGAATATCAAGATAATCCTCCGCTAGAATAGAAGGCCCCTTATCTTTGGGCTTTCCCGAACCATTAAATATACGACCTATATAGATAAATGATGAGTAGGCAAATCAAACTGACCTAACATGTCTTCAGATACTGGAGTTCTCAGAATATCACCAGTAAATTCACATGTAGTGTTTTTCGCATCGATACCACTAGTGCCTTCGAACACTTGAACGACTGCCTTTTTACCGCTCACTTCCAAAACTTGACCTGTGCGTTGCGTCCCATCCGCAAGAGTAAGACGCACGATCTCGGCGTACTTTGGAAACTTCACATCGTCTAAGATCACCAAAGGTCCATTTACGCCTGAAACCGTCCTGTACGCTGAAACAAAAGGAAATGATTAGTCTCTTAAAAATAAACTATGGTGGTTATTCCATTTAATGCATTTGTTGTGAAGAAAAAGTAAAGGAATTTAGGTTCCTATAGTCTAATAATTCTTTAGTTAAACACTGTTAAAGACTACATGTACGATCACAGTACAAACGTGATAGCGTAATGGCGAGTTGTACTGGTATCATTGGACATCCACTGCTTCGCTAATTTGTTAAAGTATCCTTCGTAACTCACCCTAAAGTACAATTCTGAGATTATCAAAACAAGCATACAATACGGATAGACTTAGGACTGCGTGAGGACGAAATTTGAAGGATGGACTAGAAACTAACACGCTAGTGTGAACTCCCTACTTTGCACATCGAAGCACTATGGTGGGAGGATATTTCTCGGATGAGACCGCGTCTTGATGGGATATGGTGGCTCAAGTATTTGCACAACCCAGAGGGCATTTTCAGACTTATGTCCAAATACACGCGGAAGGTAAAGGAGTAGTCGTACGAGATTCCGGAGAGTACAGCTGTATGCTACTGAGCGCGTCCCCAGGTCGCGGACAAGGGAACGGCTGTCATTTCGCGACTAACAGCGAATAATGTGGGCTTAGGAACCCAGAATAAGCGGTTGAGGACCATCAGCGGAAGCGCTCGAGAATGTGGTGTTTTTACCTCCTGGTAAGGGTTCTCTGCACAAAACATATATCTGTGGACAGCGCTGTGACGTGGCGAGTGTGGACCGCTACTTAGTATGGCCATTGTCTCTTGTCCAAATTTATTGTTCGACAAGGTTTTCCTGAAGAGACGAATGAACCAAATACTGGCTCATCTGCAATATCGTTGCTGCTTTGCAGCCCGTGATTGGTTGTGCACCTTCGAACAAGGCCTGGTCTGGACCGAGTGACTGAACAGTATAATAGCCCACAACGCGCACAGCCATGAACTTTCCTGCTCTTATGACTCTGCACTCTAAAGCTTCATTATCCAGCGAAAAACATTCTATACCGTACACACCGTATAGTTTCCCCAGCC